CAAGAGCTCTTAGTAAAGCATTGCCCAAACTCATGGCAGAGTCCCACCGATACACCCAACTTTGACACTCCTCATGCAAAACTGGCAACTGCAGTGCACACCAAAAGCACCTAGGAAGTACCCTAAGCTTAGGTGTTCAGGACTTCAGTTAGAATTTTAATTCTTTTGAAGAATTCACCCAATGCATCTGATATCACCTCAGAACTCTATTTACACATACATCTACAAACCAAGCGGGCGTGTTACATGGAGTTAATTAGCAATCAGAATATTTCTATTTTTTTCTTGTAACCTCATAATTTACACATTTCTGTTTAAAAAAAAAAAAACAACCCTTAAAACCTGAAGAGCAAAGCAACAGAAAGGTCCAAACCTACTACCCAAGCACCACAAATAAAAATCTGAAGAACGTTTACTTTTGTGGAGGACCAAATTAATGAACAAACCCACCCTCCCAAATTCTATGCTTATTTATTGTATAAGTTTAAAATTAAGGATAGCATACCAACATTACTTGCATTTTCTTCCAATTCATTTTTATATTTCAGATACATAGGCCACACGTGTCCATCGAAGTACCCCGGTGTATCTGCTGGCTGATAGACTCTGGTGCTACACAAAAATATATTTGCTTTCCCACGCAAGTTTTACATTTTTCCCCCCGGAGTCAGCTGGTTTAATTAGAGCACCTATCCAAACTATAAAGAGGCAGGGAAGCTGCATAAATGTTGGAGCAAGGGAGGCTCCTTTATTATAACACAATCAGTGATAGGAATTCTTACTAAATTACCTATTTTGGCCAATCAAATCATGTTTAAAATGAGGCAAAAGGAGGGTTTGTGTGTAGTATCTTTCTCAAGTAAGTTAAGCTGTATCAAAAGCATTACCAAAACAAATTATTTTTTTCCTTTGTATTGGGCACACAGATTTCTCAAGTTTTAGGTAACTACCAATTTCGTCTAGTAATTCCCAGACCGGACACCAAACTCCTTTATGGCAAGTCAAGATAGGAACCAAGAAAGTGGATTCCTCCAGAATCCCTGGCCACATGTGAAAATGAAAGCCAACTGAGTGGAGCATTTCTTCACTCAGCCAGCAGATCATTCTGACTTCACGTACGTGGATTGCTTCAGCACACGATTTGGGCTCCAAATTTGGAGCCGAGTCAGACACTGGCTTAGTAATCTAAACCAAATACCCAGTATAACTAATACACAGTCTAAACCAAATATACACTAAAACCACACATGAGTATTACTTTACACTAACTATCACGTAGCTGTATTCACCCAAGGATAAGACCGCTTTGTGTTTTCTGAAGTGTTTCTCACTTCAAATATGGTTTAACTGCAATATGCAGTTAGTAATAAAATAATTTCTCCAGGCTAAGGTTTCTCTTTTCAGTGTTTTTAGGACATCTAACATTTTAAACAACCCTGCGCTCCACATACAAAAACAAAAATTAGTTGTTAAAGAGTCTACACAAGGTTCCCTGGGGATCACAGAAAACAGCTAACCTTACTAGCTTTTATTTGGCAAGCACAGAAGAAAAGCTAGTACAAAAGGACCACTCCATGCTAAAGGATAGAGCGGCCCTCAGTGAGCAATAATTGAATAATCTTACCTCCTCCTCCTCTTGCACTCTTCATAAGGAAGGGTCAGAAAATATCTTCTATCCCACAGTTCATTAAGCGGCCTACGATAATAATGTATTTAGTTCTCTTTTCCCCTCTCGGGAGGCTTTTAATATACCAGGTTACATAATACTGCTTACTCATAATTATACAAAAGAAAGCCTTCCACAATCAAAACACAGACATCTTCTGTATTTTTTGGATTGACACATGTATTCTGTGATTCTTCAGTCAAGATAGATGAGCTTGCCAGGCTGTTCATCCAACTGCGAATACTTTTCACCATTTCATCCATATAGAGGGCATCAAGTACTAGATGAAAGCAAAAACAGAGGACTCTCTTAGAAACGGAGAAAAAGAACCCTTCAGTACCCCTTAGTTAGTAAGAATCCAATAATCTAAATACAAGCATTAATGAAAAGGAACAAGATTATTCCCAAAACATCTTCTCACACACATACAAGTTGTTCCTCGTTTGCAACTGATGACACCTTAAAACTAAAGCTTTCTCCAGGACTGGGGCATTTCAGGTGGATATGGTTCCTCTGAACCGCGCAACACCAAAAAGCATGTGAACTCACTTCACAGCCTTTTCCTCTGCCATGAAAGCTGTGCGACTGCTCTCCAATCCTATGAAACTTGTAAAAACTTACTTGGCCCCCAGACCTCCACCCTTCTGTCAGTTGTAACTGAAACAGGCCAAGGAGATCCAAAAAACTTTTGCTTAGGGTTTTTATTGGGTCTGGGTATTGGAGTGGTGGAGAGTGACAGACCGGATCAAAAGGAAGATGGCATATCAAGCATGACAGTGTAATGCGACACCTTTACACGTCTCTCTACAGGCAGAAAGAGAACACATCAGGTAAGTATTGAATGATAGGAGAAAGCAGGCTTTCTCCTAACATAGGAGCCAATATATTTTACAGGAGAACAAGGTTTAGAAATTGATGCATATTTTTAATAAAATATTAAAACACCTCAACACACAGCGCAGATCTGTAGGAGACAAAGGTAAAGACATTGTAAGTTCCCAGTCAGTACTGGAACCTAGATTAGCAGCATGAAATCCAGACAGATATCTGGATCAGAATCTCCTGCTGATCCCTGTAGCTTCACATTCACGTTTCATGATGTCTAGAAGCTAAGCCAAAAACTGCACAGCTGATGAAAATCAGCTTTCAGATGGAGGTTAAGGTTCTGGCCAATATCAAGAAAGTGATACATTTACATTTTGTAGTCCCCAAGTACTGGAACAGATTAGCTAATAACAAACTCTACACAGATGTCACTCGAACCAAAGTGCTGGCCTAAAGTGGATCTGGATCTAAATGTTTAAAGGCTAAATTATCATGCTGGATGAGCACCAACCACGAACTTCAAAGTGTAGGGTCGCCATGTGAGATCTGACACAAGACAAAGGTGTCGAGATTGGATGCAAATTTTGATTGATTTGGGATGTGGTCATGAAAGAGACACAACGGTCATGACATTCCATGAGTTCATTATCCAAGTGAAAAATATCCATCGCTGCACAGAAAGAGATGAAGACTAAGCTTTTGCCAGCGCTCCAAGCCAAAAGACTTTCAACTGCATAGTGTAATTTGCTACTGCGCCAGGTGCAAATTCAAGTAGAGGAAAAGATAAGAGAGAAATGAAAAGAAGTACTAGCTTCAGCAACTTACTAGTTCAGTAAGTTTTCTGTTTATTCACCAGTGAACTGAAAGAAACTGAGCAATGGATCCCTCTGAAACAACCATTTGTTCAGGGCAACCTGAACAGAAGGGGTTGGGGAAGAAGTACTGAAATTCGCACAACTGACATTTCAGTACAAAGTTCACAAAGAGCTACTGACCATCGTAGAGCTTAAATCCACGTTGATCCGTCTCTACTTCAGACTCCGGCTGCAGAGAAAAAAATGAATGTTTGCAGGGCTGCTCTTATGAACACTTTCACAGATACGTTCCCTTAAATTATGAACACATGAATCATATACCTTTGTATCCTAAGCGGTAAAACTTGTCCTCAAAATTAAACTGCTGTACACAACCGTGAAAATACAAATACTTTATTTAATCTAGAACAACAGATTCTTCAAATAATATCTCTTGAGTTCATCAGAACTTTACTTTCTAGAAATAAGAACAATTCCATCCTCTTTAATAAGCAACTCCAACGTTAATGCAAGAGTTGCTTTTCTTTTTTAATCTGGAAAACACAGAACTACATACTGCTGCATGAGTTTTCTATCTAGGATGAAGACAACAATACCATTAGATTTATTAGCACAAAATATCCTGTAAAATGCATCCAACATACACCCCTTCTCTATTGTAAGAGAGTACCAAAGAATATAGTAAACTCCTTTTTGTTGAGTACACTCAGTCTTTTTTGGCAACTGAATAGCTCTGTTATTGCAGCACTCTCGTTCTATTCCTCTTTCACATAAAGTTACATGACTGTAACTATCCCTTTAAATAAGGCTACCAGTAGGAGAACTGAAAAGGGGGGGAAAAATGGTACTAAAACTATATCTTAAGCTTACTTTTACCTAACAGGTCTTCCATCAATGCCTTTACCTTAAAGAAGTCATCCTGAGAGATGATATCACAGTTGGGAAGAATTTTCTTGAGCTTTTCCGCCAGTGTTGTTTTTCCTCCATTTGTTACACTGAATTAGAAAACACAGTAAAAATTGCATCAATACAAAGATATGCATATATACATGCACACAAACATGTGCACAGGCACACACACTAATTAGGGCAAGCCAAAAAGATACAATCCAAAAACCAAAAATTTATTCACCTTATACTCCCTACATCCAGAAATTTGCTGGCAAGTTCTAAAAGCTTTCAGAGAGTAAATCTAACAGTGGCAAGAAAGAGAACAGAGATGGCACCCAAGATTTATGAGAAAGACGGACAACTTCTTAAGAGTTACATGACAGGTATATAAAAAAGTCAATATTGTGTTGCGTTTGCAATCTATTTTCAAAATACATCTCAAAATATAACTTATCACAAATAGAAACAACATCACACTTCACACACAACGCATACTGTTATATAAACAGCAGTCTTAAGTTTTAGAGGAAATTTAACCTGTCAACACTTACCCTCCGAGGCCAACAACCAATACTTTCATAGTTTGCGTTCTCTCCAGTTCTTTCTTTTCCCTGTCAAAAACAATAAGCCAGTGAAAACTTTTAATTCGACAGCATGGTAAGCTGCTAGTGCTTTAAGTAACACCAGGGACAGATAACATTATCTTATGCTTCCTGTCCTATTTCTTTGCAAAGCTACCCTCAGAACGGCCGGTTCTTCCAGCATCTTAACGTTAACAGAAAAACCCCACACATGCCACATCAGATTAGGATGCGTTACACCACAGTCAGTATTTTAACCATTTTGGGGGCTGGAACTTGGAGAGACTTGGTTCTACCAATATCAATTAATACACAGTTTCTGGAAGAAAAGCACAATCACTAGGTCAGACAGCTGGCTGAAACACTAGATAAAAGAGATGCTGTGGTAGAAAAAAGAAAAGCAGAACCCAAAACCTGCAATCCTACTAGAGAACCCAGTGACATGTGCCAAGGTGAAAGATGTTTTCAAATTTCATCAATATTTACACAAAGAGTATGACCAAAGATTCCCTTATGAATCTGGCCTCAGCAGTTTCAGAATTCACCATTCCCTTTTCCCAAGTTAACAGCACAGACCATGTAAGTGCTTCAACAGAGAGCAATTAGGATTCATTAGAACAACTGTAAAGACAGTTTAAGCCATCTTGGATGATTCATCACTGCAGAAGACTATGTAGCACTTGTTCTGCTCCAGAAGAGATCAAAAAGTAAAACTCTGGAACAGACGTTCACCTATATCCTTACTGTTGCCAAGAAGCCAACCTTGAGGCTCTGCCTGCCCGAATACCTTCAGCTTTCACTGCTGTCAGAAGACAAAATCTTGTCTTTCTCCAACTCCTTCTCAGAACTTTGTGCTGGTGCAAGTGTTTGCAGAGCTCATAGCGAGCTACACTGGAAAACTACCCCACCTGAAGAACAGTTCTGCAAAAGGGACGTTAGGAAAAGAACAGCAGTTGTCAGTGGAATTAATTCTCTCCAACTTACCATCTAATCACCCACGCCTGCAGAGATACAGTGTAGCAGAAGGATGGGAAGGAATGCAGCTGCTTCTCTGAGCAGCAGCACTAGTCTAGAGTTTATCAAACTACAGTTTAACATTTGTCAAACATTACTTACCAAGAGCACACATCAATTACTAACTATTTAACCACACACAGACACTCTGTTTTTCACCCACTCTATCCTACTAAGTCACAGATAAGGCCTCTGACACATAAGACCTGACAGGACAAAAGGCAATTTTAGAAGTCAGCGTCTGAGGGTTTCCTAGGAATATCATAATTCTCAGGCTAGATGATATACTGCATGTTTATGGTATTATTCATCTATTCAGAGAGTGCTAACACATTACCTGCTCTCAGGAAGCTCTGATATTCAGCCCCTCCAAAAAACACTGCTATTTCCTAAAAAACATCAGTAAGATTTGTGTTCTAGAGGGTTAGCCTTTGTTCTCTAAGAAACCCACTATCTAACAAACTAAATAACATCCAGATATACGTGCTGAGCTTTGGACTCTACTTTACGTCACTGTTTGCATGAAAGTTAATCCCAGCTGAAGGGGAAAAAAAACCAAGATGAACAAAATCCACCAACTCTCCCCCTCCCCCACCTCCTCCCCAAGGGAAAAGAATAATACAAATTACAAAGACCAATTTGTCACCAACGCTGCAATACAAAACTCCTAAATTATTCTTTCTGGGCTCGGTTTAAGCATCTCCGAGCATAAACCCGTTATGACCGTATCAGAGAATTGCTATTATCCTGCTTTTAATAGCACAGCCTGACAAAGCTCCAGCACACAGTTAACAGCCCAAAACACGCTTCGCGTTCGGCAGGACTACTCCAGCGCCTCCGGGGTTAATGTTCACTTTTAACCGCTGCTTAAAGACATGGCGGGGATGTCCCGAAGAAGCCACCCCGGCCGAACGGCTTTCCACAAAGGCAGAGCTCCCACCTCTTACGCCTAACTACGGAGCTGGCCAACGCGAGTCTGCCACGGGGCTTCACCGTGGGGCCGGCAC